ACTCCCCTCCCCAATTTACCTCATTACACTCTCCTGCACAACAACCTCATTACAGTGCCCCCCAAATCAGGACAGCATTGCAACTCATTACAGTGCTCCCCCCCAAAATCAGGACAGCACTGCACCTCATTACAGTGCCCCCCAAATCAGGACAGCACTGCTCCTCATTACAGTGCCCCTAAATCAGGACAGCACTGCTCCTTATTACAGTGCCCCCCCAACTAGGACAGCACTGCACCTCATTAGAGTGCCCCCCCAAATCAGGACAGCACTGCTCCTCATTACAGTGCCCCTAAACCAGGACAGCATTGCACCTCATTACAGTGCCCCCCAACTAGGACAGCACTGCACCTCATTACAGTGCCCCCCCAACTAGGACAGCACTGCACCTCATTACAGTGCCCCTAAGCCAGGACAGCATTGCACCTTATTACAGTGCCCCTAAACCAGGACAGCATTTCACCTCATTACATCGCCTCTCCCCTCCCCCAGGTAGGACAGCACTGCACCTCATTACAGACCCCCCCAAGTAGGACAGCACTGCACCTCATTACAGTGCCCCCCCAAGTAGGACAGCACTGCACCTCATTACAGTGCCCCCCAAGTAGGAAAGCACTGCACCTCATTACAGTGCCCCCCAAGTAGGAAAGCACTGAGCCTCATTACAGTGAGTGACCCCCAACTAGGACAGTACTGCACCTCATTACAGACCCCCCCAACTAGGACAGTACTGCACCTCATTACAGAGTCCCCCAACTAGGACAGCACTGCATCTCATTACAGTGCCCCCCAACTAGGACAGTACTGCACCTCATTACAGTCCCCCCCAACTAGGACAGCACTGCACCTCATTACAGTGCCCCCCCAACTAGGACAGTACTGCACCTCATTACAGTGGCCCTCAAATAGGACAGTACTGCACCTCATTACAGTGGCCCTCAACTAGGAAAGCACTGCACCTCATTACACTGCCCCCAAACTAGGACAGCACTGCACCTCATCACAGTGCCCCCCCAAGTAGGACAGCACTGCACCTCATCACAGTGCCCCCCCAAGTAGGACAGCACTGCACCTCATTACACTGCCCCCCAACTAGGTGCAATGCTGTCCTGATTCATTACAGTGCCCCTGAACCAGGACAGCGTTGCACCTCATTACAGTGCCCCCCCCCCCAACTAGGTCAGCATTGCACCTCATTACAGTGCCCCCCAACTAGGACACCACTGCACCTCATTACAGTACCCCCCAACTAGGACAGTACTGCACCTCATTACAGTGCCCCCCCAACTAGGACAGTACTGCACCTCATTACAGACACCCCCAACTAGGACAGCATTGCACCTCATTACAGTGCCCCCCAACTAGGACAGCACTGCAACCAATTACATTGCCCCCAACTAGGACAGTACTGCACCTCATTACAGTCCCCACCCCCCAACTAGGACAGCACTGCACCTCATTACAGTGCCCCCCCAAGTAGGACAGCACTGAACCTCATTACAGTGCCCCCCCAACTAGGACAGCACTGCACCTCATTACATTGCCCCCAACTAGGACAGCACTGCACCTCATTACATTGCCCCCAACTAGGACAGTATTGCACCTTATTACAGTCCCCACCCCCCAACTAGGACAGCACTGCACCTCATTACAGTGCCCCTCCAAGCAGGACAGCACTGCACCTCATTATAGTGCCCCCCCAAGTAGGACAGCACTGCACCTCATTACAGTGCCCCTCCAAGTAGGACAGCACTGCACCTCATTACAGTGCCCCTCCAAGTAGGACAGCACTGCACCTCATTACAGTGCCCCTCCAAGTAGGACAGTACTGCACCTCATTACAGTGGCCCTCAACTAGGATAGCACTGCACCTCATTACAGTGCCCCCCCCAAGTAGGACAGCACTGCACCTCATTACAGTGCCCCCCCCAAGTAGGACAGCACTGCACCTCATTACAGTGCCCCCCAAATAGGACAGCACTGCACCTCATTACATTGCCCCCAACTAAGACAGCACTGCACCTCATTACAGTGCCCCCCCAAGTAGGACAGCACTGCACCTCATTACAATGCTCCCAAACTAGGACAGCACTGCACCTCATTGCAGTGCCCCCCAAATAGGACAGCACTGCACCTCATTACACTGCCCCCCAAATAGGACAGCATTGCACCTCATTACACTGCCCCCCAAATAGGACAGCACTGCACCTCATTACACTGCCCCCCAACTAGGACAGTACTGCACCTCATTACAGTGCCCCCCAACTAGGACAGCACTGCACCTCATTACAGCCCCCAAGTAGGACAGCACTGCACCTCATTACAGTGCCCCCCAAATAGGACAGCACTGCACCTCATTACAGTGCCCCCCAAATAGGACAGCAATGCACCTCATTACATGCCCCCCAACTAGGACAGCCACTCCAATACATTCCCTCCACTATAAGGACAGCTTTATATTGTATTACCTCTTTTTAAAGGCAGCATCTCTTCGCCTGCCTCCATGGACAGCATGTTAATTTCCCATCTCCATGACAGCACTGCAACTCATCAGCTGCCCCAAGGTCAGACCTTCCCTGTATCCTCCTGCCCCAAATCATTCCTTACTGTCCCTCTCTGACAGCTCAGCAGGTTGTTTCCCCTCCAGCCTGGCTAGGTGTACCCCTACCCCATGTGATGGGATGACATACCTGTCAGTCCTGGTAATGTCTGCACAGCTCCTGCACTGTGACTCAGGGGAGCAGCCACCCTGTCACTGTGAGATCTATGGGGATAGAAAGCTGTGTGAAGGTGTCAGTCACTTCCCATCCTACTGTCACACAGGCATCACCGGCTTCCAGGGCTATTCGTTCTGCTTGTGGCAACAATAGGAGCTTTGCCCTAAACCATAATGGCTGCCGAGCACTTCCCTTTTCCGGTTTGTATAAACACTTCCTCATCTCTATGGTAAATCTCTCTGTGCCCTGGGTCTAGTTCAGAGCACTGCTATAGTGACGTCACAGAGGAGCCAGGGCTGCCAGGGTGGGAGCAGGAGTAGTGGAGACAGGGCTGAGAGACTGGCAGGGGGGCAATGTGAGGAGGATGATGAGGTTATCTTCCTATTCACCCAGCTGCTTACTCAGCTTGGCATCTTGTTCACCCAGCTCCTTTTACATGAACATTATTATTATTTACTAAACAACAGAATGAAAGGTTTGATACAGATAATTAAATACAGTACCAAGCCTGGCACCCCATGCTTATCAATGGGAAATTCTGGGTACATAATCAAGCTTTTTTGTCCAGTTATTAGTAGACAAATTTGGTTTTCACATAGGACAAACTTGCTTACTTATTTAGAATTTCCAATTCCAATGCATGGTGTCAGGGTGCCACAGTTTCTGATTAATACAATCTGGCTCAAGCTTAACTTAACTTTTTAAAACTTTTCAGATAGTTGTCTAGTAAATAATCACATTTGTGAAAAAGAAACCAACGTGAATATGAATTGAATAACACTATACGAAGGGTTATTTCCCAGTAAACTACTGATCACTTTTTACATTTTTCTATAAGTACCGGTATAATGTAAGGTACATGTATCATAGATGCCAACAGTTTCAAATTTGCTGGGACAGTCCTGAGATACTGTCCCAACCCATTTAGGTCCCTAGGACCTGTCATGCCAGCAGATTGCAAGATGCAGGAGGGAACTGGGCACAAGGACCAACCACAGAGCGATTAACCCCTTAAGGACACACGACGTGTGACATGTCATGATTCCCTTTTATTCCAGAAGTTTGGTCCTTAAGGGGTTAAGCATGGTCTGCTGTCATACGGCCATGCCCCTTTGCATGCTTGTTGGGCATGCCCTTTTGGTAGGTGAGCCATAAGACCTCTCTACTGAAATATATTAGCCACAATAACAAGGTGATTACTTTGTGTTATGGTAGGCAGTGGTGATCACCCGATAGGATTTGTGGTACTGATGGGATTGGGGCAATATTAAAAAAAAAAAAAAAAAATGTAAATGGGGGAGATCTATTATTTAAGGCCTTAGATTTGCCAGACAATATCTGTAACACAACAGCATAAAAATACAATTTACCTACCATGATTATGAAAAACAGGAATAGGAAAGTAGATGTAAATGGCAGCATTCAGTGCTTTATAGGAGGCAACTAATCTATACATTTTTATATATCTATACAACTACATCAACAAATACATAATGATCAGAACTTTCTTTCCCTCACAATGTGACATCACCATTTAGTTTGTTCCTCTAAGATGAAAGGTGTGCAAACTATCACTTTATTTCTATGCCTCACAGAGAACAGTGAAATGGTTTGAATATCTGTGTTACTTGATTAATACTTATAGAGAGACTTGAAATGCATAATTATCCTGAGGCTAGTTATTAGAATATTGTGTTCTGAAGGACACAATAAAAGGCAGTCTGAGCACTATAACCACTACATGCCTTATGGTATTAGAAGGTTATGGGCATCGTTGCCTGGTTCTGAGTTTAACCATGTTCAAGCAGTATGACCAATAATTAGGTTTCCAGGGCACCTGCAGGACGTCCATGCTTGCTGGATTGTTAATGCCAAAGTTCTCCATCCACATTAGTTATATGCATTTATTAACAGAACCTGCCTCCTCTTTCTTATTGATGCCCCTGTTGCCTTGTACTATGTTACCAGCAATAGCTATCCCACGCCCTCACTACTTGTCACATGATGTGAAAGGACTATATGGTTGTGGAATGGCTTAAGAGCTAGCCTCCTGTTCAAAGATTAAAGGAATACTTAACAGAAACTGAAACGCTCTGTGTCTGGAGCCGGGCATTTTTGTGTCAGTTTTTAAAAGTGTGATTTTAATGTATTTGTCAATTTCAATTCCACTCTATGCAGAATACCATACTGTACACGAGAGTGAAGTCATATACACACACCATACTACCAACATTGTATTCCCACCTCCTGGGATGGAGTGTAGCTATATGGATGTATAGACCAGTCTAATATTATTTACAAATTATGAGAGGAGACCAACTAATTACAGCCTTTATGGTATCTTCTCCTCCATCAACCCTCCCTCTTCTACCTTGGCCCGGTGTACCATGTAATATTGGCTAATACCCTCCATCACTTGGCATAGGGCAGGGGAGAGAGCTTGTGACCTGTCCTTATTGATAGACCTCATCATCTCACCAAACCCAGCAGAGCCTATCACTGCCAGCTAGCCAGCCATGCACAACCAATTACTGCCAGCCAGCTCAGCATATCACTGCCAGCCAGCCCTGCACAATTACTGCCAGCCAGCCCTGCACAATCTATTACTGCCAGCCAGCCAGCCCTGCACAATCTATTACTGCCAGCCAGCCCATCACTGCCAGCCAGCCAGCCCTGCACAATCTATTACTGCCAGCCAGCCCATCACTGCCAGCCAGCCCAATCTATTACTGCCAGCCAGCCCATCACTGCCAGCCAGCCCAATCTATTACTGCCAGCCAGCCAATCACTGCCAGCCAGCCCTGCACAATCTATTACTGCCAGCCAGCCCTGCACAATCTATTACTACCAGCCAGCCCATCACTGCCAGCCAGCCCTGCACAATCTATTACTGCCAGCCAGCCCATCACTGCCAGCCAGCCCTGCACAATCTATTACTGCCACAGCCCATCACTGCCAGCCAGCCCTGCACAATCTATTACTACCAGCCAGCCCATCACTGCCAGCCAGCCCTGCACAATCTATTACTGCCAGCCAGCCCATCACTGCCAGCCAGCCCTGCACAATCTATTACTGCCAGCCAGCCCATCACTGCCAGCCAGCTCAGCATATTACTGCCAGCCAGCCCTGCACAATCTATTACTGCCAGCCAGTCAATCACTGCCAGCCAGCCCTGCACAATCTATTACTGCCAGCCAGTTCAGCCTATCACTGTCCTGGACACATAATGAACACTCCCAGCATGCATTGCGGCCGCTCAGTGACCGCACAAACGGGCGCCGCGCGGCTCTGTGACGTATGAGGCGGGGGTGTGGCTCTTGCCCTTACATTGTGCCCGGCTTAATACGTCATCACCCGGCCTGCACCTGCCGGCAATCACTGGCGATCCAGAGGGGGGCAATGAGGCAATTGCCCCCCTCCCGAGAATACCGCCGGTCTCCCTCCCCTGACAGCCCAGCACAGTGCCTGCGGACCGGAGGGGGAGGGAGGGAGTGAGAGAGAGGACCCGGAGCTCAGTCTGCAGCTCCTCCGGGTACTCCTCTCGCGAGATTTGGAGGTTGCCGGTTACCACAGCAACGCTCCAAATCTCGCGAGAGTGAACTCTAACCCGGGAGCGTGGGCTGGACTTCACTCTCCACACTGGGACCACCAGGGATCGAACTATGTCCCCCCTCCCCCCAGTAAAGGTAAGAAGGGAGAGGGGACATAGAATATTTATTTAAATAAAAATATATATATATATATTAAAAAAAAACAACCCATACCCTTATATTACACCCACTACACCCACACTGCCCCCCATACACATACACTG